TTCAGAAAGACTGTGCCCAGATCCCTTGAGGAAACAATCAAATGGCACTCAACCCTTTCTGTTTGCTCCAGTACCTGGCAGATATTCATATAAGACATTCACACATATGCATGTTTGTCAGATGCACGTCACTCACTTGTGTTACTTGCTTAGCCCTTGAGTTGACCCCCATATATATGGAGAGAGTATATGTCCCGAGAAAGGGGTGTGGAGAGCCCTGGGGTAATTGTGGAAGCCCCAGGAAACAAAGTATTATTTGCCCTGAATTTGAAAAGAGGAGGACAGGTGGTTGTAAGAAGACTGTGGTGAGCCATCTGATTCCTTCTGATACCCTAGAGTGCATCCAAACAAAACATCTCTTCTAAATGCAACCAAATGTTGAGTCAACGTCACAGCTTACTGACACACATTTTTGTGGTAAGTATCGTTTAACTAAAATCGAAGTATCCTTGCAGGAGAAGCGAATATTGTTTATTCACTAAAATATGGCTAATCTCACTTCTCTGGACTAGAAATAAAGCCCCTTTTAAAATACACACTATGCGAAGACAGGGATCCGTTTGTTCTGAGCAATGCTATGTTTCTAGAACCTAATACTGTGCCTGGAATGTTGTAAGAACTCAATTACGAGAGAGAGAGAGAGAGAGAGAGAAGCCAACCATCACATCTGATGGCTCACATCCCTGAGAACCTTCCCCCTCCCTGCTAAGCACGAGTAGTAACAGCTGCTAACCACATTTAAGCAGAATGCAACAACTTCACGGGAACTGTAAGAGCGTATGAACTCCTTCCATGTTTAGTGAAGGTCGAATTTGTACCTTGTTTTAAGAATCAGGCAGAGCCATGATATCGCGAGTTGTGGGCCCTCCAGACGGGGCACTGGCTGGAAATGTGGACTCCCACGGGCCACCCCAGATCTAATGGCACAAAGAACTGTCATTTCTGCATACACTAAACTTTGCACACCAAATGTTCATTGAACCACTATTTAGGGATGATGAGGCCTTAGCAGCCTATGTTATGAGCCTGGAATCACAGGATTCACACAGTCCAATTTATTTGAGATGGAAATTATACAACGGGTTTTGAATAGATGTAAAACAGTCTGTCACTTCCTGATTAAGCTGAGTTTTTACCTGGCTAGTGAGTGCTTTCTTAGACGCGTTTATGTGTTACCATGTATCTGCCAAAGGGTCCTTAACATTCTTCAGACCCAGGACTAGTGAGTCGGTTGCTTTATTTGCTCATTTGTCATTTAAATTAAAAAGCACGCTTTACTAGAGAACTTGCAAAATTTTGTTTTGTTTGGCTGATGCTAATCGCTTAAAAATACATTTGCACGCCATTATGGGCATGCTCTGCCCAGTCTGGCCACAGAGTCCATCACTTCCCATTTATTTCACCAGGCTCTGTCACATGCTTGGGCATAACTCCCTCAGTATGGCATCCTAAATCCAGCCTCCTCTGCTACCCCCTAGCCCAAGCCATTAGTCTCTCTCACCTAAGTTATTGCTATAATTTAATCACTGGTCTTTCTGATTCCCTCCTGCCACCTTAACTCTATATTCTTCATGCAAAGGTCAGGTGATCCTACGAAAACAGTTCATTAGCTTCTCAAGGTTTCCCCTCTCCCTGGAACAAAACCCACTCTTTTTACCCCAGGATTCATTATTGCTGCTCTCTGCTTATTGGACACATGGTAGAATTGTGCTTCCTGCCCACCAAGGTCTCTTCTGCCAACCTCCACCATCGCTGAATGTTGACTAGAGCTGACCCATGAGTTGTCTGAGGAAGTGATGTGTCACTTCCACTCTGGGACATTAACTGCTAACAGGAGACCCTACAGAGGTTTTCTCGGCCATTATGACCAGCAGTGCTCCTGATAGTGGCTGCCCTGACCCCCTGGTTCTCAGGATGGGGCTGATCTGCTGCAGAGCCTCCAACCTAACTGTGGCAGACGTGGTGGAGCAAGAAATGAACCTCAAGTATCTTCAGCCTGAGAGATTTGGGGACTATTTGTTACCACAGAATGATCTTGCATAAGCTGACTATTACTCTAACTTTTATATACAAGGCCCTCTGTGATCTAACTGCCAACTACCTCTCTGACCCCTTCCCCCACCTCTTTCCCCCGTTTTCACTCTCTTCCAGGACTTGCAGAAGTCCTGGAGCACACCAGCTTCGGCCCCAGCTTGAGGCCTTTGCACCGTGTAAAATGCTTTATGACCAGGTCTGTCCATGCTCCTCACTTCATCCAGATCTTTGGTCAAGTGTCTCCTCCTTAGGGAGGACTTCCCTGACAATACGTCTGAAAGAGTGCTCCTTATTACTCTCTCTCGTCTTTATTCTTTTAATTTTTCTCTGTACCTTAAATCTTTTTCTTTATCATTTTCCGTTCTGTCTCTGAAGCTAAAACGGAAACGTTTTGTGGGCAGAGACATTATTTTGTTCACAGATGTTTTCCCAGCTGTTCCTGGAGTAGAGGAGATGATTACTAAATAATAATATTTGTTGAATGAATGAATTTATTGGGGCATATCTCCTAAGCATCAATTTTCTCCTCTAAAATAGATTAACAGATCCTTTCACCTACTCCCTAAGGTTGTTATACTTTTAAAAGTATACACGCAACGTGTTTTACCTTCTCACCACAACAAGTTAATTCACTTAATTATTCTTGTCCAAAGTGTTAAGAAGAAACACCCTAACAAATGCACTGAGCACCAGTGGGTTTGGCTTTCTTAGTTCCTTGGGTATTTTACAGCATCAATCTTGTTTCTTATGTTAAAATAATTTCAGAAGGAACTAGCGTTCACTGGAAGGCTGCATGGGAAGTTGAAATCTTTCATTCTCCTCAAAGGAAGACCTGTTTATCATTTATCTTGAGGGCACTGGCAGAGTTTTGCTTTGTCATACAAAGTTTATTGATTCTTTGGTAGCAGCCTTGTTTGAAAATTAATCTGGAATTTAAGCAATGACCTCTTTGAGAAATAGTGAACATTTAATTTTTTATGCTGAGCCTTCTGAACGTTTAGTAATGGGGTATGAGTCACACTGAAATAGAAGCTTCATTTTCCACTCTGAATTTTACACAATACGATTTTACCTATAAAAGACAGCACATCTCAGTAAACTCAGGAAATATAAATTTATAATTTCCCCATTCTTAGAGTCGGCCATACAATAGAATTACCGTAAGAAGATTGCTTTAAACATGCAATTATAAATATGGCATGATTCTATAAATTATCTGTAATTTATTTATAAATCTTCTGCAAGGGCTAATGTTTAACACATGCACATATTTTTTTATATTCCCTTTCCCTTCAGTTCTGTCATATCATTAGATAAATATACTTAATGAGGGTTTATTATGGAAATAAAATAATCTAAACAGTATTGTATGGTCTACTGTATTATGAAAGAGTTATTTTAAAAGCCTATTAAAGTCCCTGCTTGGGCTTGTCCAAGTTCATGTGAGTGAGCAATGATAACCTAGAAGAAAATTCCTACTTTGATTATTCAATCAAATACATTCTCCTATATTATTCAATCAAATCAGCTCTTTTCTCTTTCTGCTACTCCTTGTCTGTAAGTCACAGTCAGATAAAACTATAAGTCAAGAGAATAATTTCTTCTTCATGACACTGTCAGAAATATTAAAAAAGAACAGGTTATGAGTCAACTTTTTTGTGCACTCAAAAAGCAGGAAAAAAGCCCTCTATTCTATCTATGAAAGACTGCTCTAAGGTCTAAGCACCAGTTGCTGTTTTTTAAAGAAATGAATTAGAATTTGTAGCTAGATTTTGCAATTATGTATGTCAGAGACAAATTTGATATGGTATTGCCATCAAAGAGGTAAGCCTTCAGTGGGGTGCTTCAGGTTCATTCTTAAAATGGGATTCTCCCAATAAATGAGGCGGAGGACCGTTTATGACATTTTTGGATCACAGAAAGGACTTAAACGCCCAATTCCAACCTACGCGACATAATTTATCTACCCTGCTATGCATTCCAAATAAAACAAACATCACTCAAACTAAGCCCACGACTTGAGTTCTGGGATCTTATCCTAATCATTCCTGTATCCTTAGCATCTATGTTCACCTTTCACCTACCAGCTGCTAATTGAGATACTGCAAACAAAGTGATACACAAGTGATTCATCATCAGAAAGGCATTAAAACAAACATGAAGGAGAACTCAAAGTAATTCTGATATTTTGTAGAAACCACACCATATGCATGAACCTACATATACAAATAGAGATGGTCACAAACAAAGAAGGAACGGGCAATACTGGAAGTGTTTTAGCTTTGTAACGTAAATGATACTCACGATGGGTCTAATACACAAGGCATCAGGCATTCTGTAGTGACGGCATCTGCACAGGTCACTGTGCTTTTTCCATTACTTTTCACAGAGTTTTTTAAGGACAATCTAGAGCAATGGTTTTTAAGAAAACTCTCTCCTCCCTTTTTAAAAATATTTTTTAAAGCAAATCTGGCATTACCTCCCCTGAAATAAAATCTTACTCAAAATGTCAACAACCCCAACATATGAAAAAGGTAAAAATACAAGTGAGAGATCCACTCTGTTGGTTTCTCCTTACTCACCACATATGGTGGCCCCCACGGCAGTGTCCAAGGCCATTACAGAGAACTCTAGGGCTCCTCGTTGGAAAAGCGATGACTCAGATACCTAGGGAAGGGAGAGTTTTCAGCTGCACCTGACAGATGTGTATACACACACACACACACACATAAAAGTTGCATTCACTAAATAAAGATATAAACACTATACATGTAAATATTTATATCATTTATAATATATAATATATAAATTTAGCACTTTAAAGTTTAATATAAATATACACATGTCCAGAGCTATACAAGTAGATCACTCTTAAACTGGCTGGTAAGGACAAGTAAAAAAGATAGAAACCATAATTTGGTTCCATATTGTGATGGTCGGAAACAAGGGGTGATATATTTTTTCCTCTATTGGACATATTTTCAGAATCATGCGTGGGGATTTATATGCGTACCCTGTGCCATTTATAACAGCGCTACAAATAACTAGGATTATGCTCATTAGCAAACATTGCTACTTTTCTGAAGGGGATGCCAGCAGACATGGCTGAAAGGAAAGTCTTTTTTAGACAGAAGAGACAAACCTGGAAATAGGAATCTGTATGTTGGTCCTGTGACTGTTTAATGCAGTGTTTCATGAGCTAGAGAGAGAGAGAGAGAGAGAGAGAGAGAAATGATGCTTTGAATAATATCTTACAAGCACCACAAAGAAATCTGACGTCCATCTTAAACCAGACACAGCTGTGATTCTGCCACCTAGTTTCCTAGAAATATGCATTGTAACTGTAGAACTTTCCATGCTAAGAAACTAGGGCCACATGTGATGGTAGAAGGAGAAAATCAACCAAACAGCTCTTTAAAAAAATCTTTTATCGCTACCACTAAGTTTGGACAAGTAATTGACATGAAGGAAAGATAGCTTTTTATAAGGAATTAAAACTTAGTTGTCAAGTTGCCCTTCAATTTTCCTTCATCCCCATCTTACCCCATTTTCTCACCTGTACAGCTCATATTGTTGTGCTTGTGGTTGTTTTTCTCAAGGATAATTTTTGCCTCAAAATCCCGAGAAAGAATAATCAGGTGCTTGGGAAGTGGTGTCTCTGTTCATCTCCCCAACACGTGACTGCTTTCTGTCTGGTGCTTTGTCATGGTGCCTCCAGAGCAGACTTCCTCTGCTTCCTTTGTTATCCTTGCCTGATAAATAAACAGCACAAAATTACCAAACTTATTATGGTAATTGAGAGAAGGAAACGAATGCTGAACCTGGCCCCCATCTATTTCCCTGCCACTGCGAAAGTTGGCTAAACCTGCGCAAAACCTCAGATGCCAGTGTAACATCAGCCCCTCTCCTGCGCGCCCCCCCCCACCTTTCATTCCCGCAGCCCCCACCCTCCGTGATGATTGTTTTCTGTCCATCTTGAGCTGGGTGTCAGTTCATTTAGATTTACATCAAGTAGTAAATTAAAATAATCACTCAGCAAACACTCTGAGCTCAGTTTTCCCTTTCAGTCAGGAGTTGCACGAGCTGCTCGGAGCATTCAAGCAGAAAATATTGCTGTCTAGATATTTGTCCTCTGGGTGATAAAGGAGGCATTGTCTTGGGACCCACTCAGGCCTCGGAGCCGATCGTCGCTGTGCATCACAGCTGTGAAGTGCGCTTTGTTATGTGTCTGAGGACTCGGGTTCAAGACCTTGTTTTTCTTGAAATACCAGACTGATCAGAGCTGCATATGTTCGGGGGAAAGCAGGGGTCGGTGGTTCTCTGTCCACATTTTTACTAGATTATTCTTGGACAGAACTCTGGGAAAATACCCTGCAGCCTAAACCATCCCGAGAGTTTTGCTTTGTTTTAATTCATTTTCTTTCCTTCTCTTTCTTGCATCTTTCTTTTCTTCCTGTTCCTTCAGATTCTGCATTGTTACCGTGCTAGAAAATGCTGGAGCTTATCTGCATGAGTCAGAAACAAAGGCTTACAGCACTGCTTTGAACCCAGTGCCATAATGTACCAAGTTATAAACCTGTTTCTTTGTGTTCTCATTACAGTACATCTATCTGCCCATTTAGAAATCAAAATGCAGAGTTCAGTCACCTGGGATGAAATATAGAATGGGCTAAAGAGGTTTTTCACCATTTGTAAATGATCAGTGGAATTTTTAAACAGAACAAGGAATTGATGGAGGTAAATGAATCAGAATTTTTGCTTGGAATGAGATTTTTTTTTAAAGATAAAAATTATCATTTGTGAATCTCTGAACCATTATATTTTTGTTGCAGCTTTTTTGTAGGCATATTATTGATGAGTGTTTGAAAGAGTAAGATATTAGTCGCTTTAAGTAGTGAAAGAAAAACATCAAATGATAGGGAGTGTGGTGGTAGGCATCTAAATGAAAATTTGAATTTTAAGTCAATTATCTGAATTTTTCCAAATAGTTCCACGTGCTTGGCTAGTTGAACGCTGTCATTGATTTTTGGCCAGATATCTGGCATTCTGTTGTGTTTGTATTTAAGCCAAGGTATCTATAGCAAAAGTGGTATTTGATATATTCCTCTGTCTGTGTTATGGCTAAATATATACCTTCAATTGTAAAATTCTCTATTCGTACAAGGAAAAGGAAGTACAAAAATAAGCAAAAAATCGGTATGAAAGAAATGGGATAGGCACGTGTATTTACATACACACACATATGGTCACATACATGACTTCCTTGTGAATGTATGATTTTATATTCTTGAATTAAAAATGCATTGCCCTTTGGGGTGTTCTCACTCAGTGGTGTTTGAAGCTGTGACTCCATCCCCGTGACCCCCACCACAACCAGTTGCAACTCTCACTCTTTGGACCATAGGCATCTTTCCAGTAAGGCTGGATCTGCAAGAACCAGAGGTGTCATTGCCCTGGCCATGCTAAGCCCTCAGATTGTTCCAAGGCCCGTGAAAATAAATGGAAAGAATCACCAGACCAGAGAGGAAAATCACAGATCATTTCCAGTCATACATTATGGTTTGTGACGTTTCATGCCTGGTAAGTGGCAATTTAGTTCAGCAGTCAGGCTGAAGGAGCCAAACCAGGATCTTTGGTTCGGATTTGCTTGGGCTCCAGAGTCAGGGAACCTTACTGGATGCCCTGCTGAGTCACTTTGAGCAAGTTACTTACCCACTCTGGGGCTTCAGTTTCTCCATTTCTACAATGGGAATATGATCGATATGTATATCATTTGGTGGTCAAAATTATTTAATGAGTAACGCACATTCACTGCTTAGAAGAGTGTCTGGCATGTAGCTAATATTCAAAAAGTATTTCATGAGTGATAGTGACGACGATGATGATAATAATCCTCACAAGTCTAAGGGTAATCCTAAATCTGGGAAATACAACTTGGGTTGGATAGATTAGTCCTAGCTTTTCTAAGACTGATGTACACAGCAGAATTAGGTTGTCCTGAATTAGCATCTCTGTTCAGTCATTGACTAACTGTGTGCATGGGCAAATTACTTAACTTCTCTAAGTTTTCTACATAATAAGATAACAGTGGTCTCATAGAGTTGTTGTAAATATGAAAATAGATGCTGCACAGAAGTTGCAAATAACACAATGCCTGACCAAACAGGGCTGCTCCTCAGGCACGCGGGACCCCAGGTCAAAAAAAATAAATCTCTTCCTATATAACCATATAATAGGACTACAAAATTCACAAGCCAATCATCGAAGATTTAGAAAAACGGGTAGAGAAGAAAATAGGCATTTTTTCTTGTATACAACATACATGAAAATCTTTCCGTGTCCAGGCACCCTTTCTTCCTGTTCACGTACGGTAAAATTCTCTCCATGTTTTCTCTCTTGTATTTTTTAACTTTAAGATTTATCATTTCTGACTAAAATCACAACTCTCACAGTGAGAAAAAGATAGCAATGCTCTGATTACTTTTGATGTCATACATCTTTGGAATTCATATCTATTGAAATAATATTGATCTTCTTGCTTCTGCAGTTCCCTTGTACCATTTTTAATGCTAATTATAACATTACTTTTATCACCTCATCATCCACTGTGCTGCCCATAAATACTGGTTTCCAATAATTCTCTTAAACGTTGTTTCTGCACTTCATTGGTGACAACCATAGATAATAAGTCTTGCCTAGAGCAAGCAAGAAAATGTGAAGAATAACGTGTTTCCTGATTTTGTTAGGTTTACAGTTCAGAAGTCTATAATGCATATGTAGAGCATCACCCAACAATGCTTTCTCTTGAACTAACTGGGCTGTAACCCTTGCATTCCCTGAATATGTGATCACGTTCAATGTTGTCTGCTTTCCACACACCTCTATCAGCAGGAGGATAAACAAGGGAGGAGAGACTGAGCAAGAATATTCCCATTTGCATAAGAAACGTCTGGACATGGATCAGCCTGGCTTAAACCTACCTGGGACAGCATGATATGAGCGTATCAATTAATTAATTAATCATAACCTTAATGGGAAGGACCTATTGGTATTGTGGAGCAATGATCTAGGAAGTCTTCAGAGGAGATAGTTGTGAGCACCTGGAGGACTATCTGGCACATGGCACAGAGCCTGTGGAAGCGATGGGCTGACTTCTCCGAATGACAGCAATGATGACACACCGGGAAAATGGCATCTATACCCTCATCACCCTCAGCTACTGCAGACTGAAAGCGGTCCTGTGGTTGGTCAGAACATGGATGAGAGTTAACACGCTGGTCACATACATGGCTCAAGCCAAAGGTTGGTGGAGGGCTGTAGGCAACCTATAGTCTAAACTCTTTTATCTGATTTTAGAGTCCTACCATTCTGACAGGACACTCCAAAAGAAATACTGCACATCAGGAGAAATCCATTCCCTAGTCCACCCTTCTGCCACTGGCTAGCCATGTGGCCCCAGGAAAGCCCAAGATGACTCTGCAAGTTCAAGCTCCAGAGCTTCTGGGGCATCTGGTTGACCCCATGAGTGAAGGGAGTGTCATAACACCTCGAAAGGAGAAACAGGTCTGGACTCAAAAGGATCCTGATCTGGGCTTAGGCAGATTTGCTAAAATGGCCACAGAGAGACTCACAAAAATTTAAGGAAGTCAAACTGTGGCTCAAATGGGATATTCTTGTCAGGTAGGGAAGGAGAAGGCAGGAAAGGAGGGGTCTATAAAGCAGAGGCGAAAGCCCCAGCAGAAGCGAGAGAGAGAAATACGAGTGGTCTAGTCGTTGAGAGGATGGCAGGGAGTAGGGTGTGGGCTTGTGCAGGGACTGCTGTGGGCACCGAGGTAGACACAGACCGAGACTAGAGGTGAAACTGGAACATTAGGCTGAGGCCGGGTTTTTGAAGACCTTTGAGTATGAACTCTATCTGTTTCTGTAAGCTTTAGGAGCCTATTTTATGCTAGGCTCTGTGTATTGGAGACACCATTCCATGTTTGGAGGAAGGGCAGATTGTTGAAAGATTTTCGGGCCACGGAGTAATCTGTGTTTTCCAAAGTTTCCCCTGGAGAACTTTAGGGGTTCACTAACAGTGGGAGAGGCCATAGAGAAGAAGATGAATTATGGGGCTGTGGAACTGCTCCAGGGAAGAGATGGAGAGTACCTCACTTAGGTGAGCAGAATGAGAATGGAGAGGAGGGCACAACCCATGGATCTCACAGAGGTAAGGTCAGCAGACGAGGAGGACTAACCGGAGGGAGGCTGGAGGGATAGAGGGTGTTACAATATCTAAGAGATTTATTCATTCAGTCAGTGCCTGCAATTCTGTTGAGTGTGTCCTCAAGTGCCAGGCCCTGGAGGACACGCCTGGTGGTGAGGGCTTCTCATGGGTGAGGGTCAATACATATGATAAATACATAGACTGTCAGACCTCTCTTAGTAGGCAGGGGTTCTAGAGCCCAGGAATCTGTGTTTTTAACAATTACCTTAGGTAACACTTTTCATCACGAATGTTTGGGAAACACTGTATGAAATAATGTATGTGATTTTGGGTAGAAGGGGCTAATCTCTCTATATAGAGAGAAATCGTATAGTAATGCATATACAGGGGATCCTAGTACATTTACATGGGCATCAGAGGCAGAGGATGTTAAAAGGAGGTTTGCTAAGCTATGCTATGGGGGAAAATAAATGAACAGAAGAAGCTAAAACAATGAGAAAAAAACTCTCCAGAGAGCACCTCTCTCTGGATCTGAGAAATGGAACT